GACCACAACTCTTCTCAGGCACCAATTTAACCCTCTTAACCATATAAAGAACATGAACATTATAAAGAGAAAATTTTTAATTACAACATTAATCTAATGCTAAATTTTTCTTAATTTATTTAGTTAGGATATGAATCTCAAGAAAGTAGTAGTTTGACAGGTTTTTGAATTTTTTTAGTCCCAAGAATATTTTAGGAATTTAAAATAATACCTTGCTATTATTTGGAAGTCGTTCCCTTCACTTAAAAGAGAACCTTTTTCCATAATAATTTTCAAATTTCCTTCAATAACACATGCAAATAAGAAAAAAAACAGAAATCAAATTATCAAAAGAACTTCAGAAAATCTGTGATTAAAAAAAGAAATTATCTAAAGACTTCATTTAAGAAATTACTGGAAAATTTAAGATTGATTAATGTTTTTATGCTACGAATCGGATCGAGGAGGTTTAAACATTTTCAGTCAATAAGAATGTTATTGGAATAACAAGCCATGATTTAGAGTAAAATTTAAATTTATAGTATTGTTGCTAGTTTTATGAATTTTAAAAAAAATCTCAGGCGTAAAGAAAAAAGTATAATTATCCAAACTAGAACATGATTTCAATTGCAAATAATGGCACATTGTTAAAAAAAAAGATTCAGAGAGAATTGAGCATCTAATAAAACTAAATTAGATGAAATTAGCTATTTAAAAGCATCAAGGGAAAGATATCAGCTAAAGGAAAAAAAATAGATTGTCAAATTAATACAATTTTCATAAAATATATATCTGTTTTTCAAATGTTATATGGTTATATTAAATGTTGATGACATTATAGAAACTCAAATAAATTGTATCACTTATTGAAGACTTTATAATTAAAAATACATTCACATTTGATAATTTTGGATATTTAGAAAAACTATCTTTTGGATAATCGTGACTATCATATTATGAAAATATTAAGCAGGTCTCTCCAAAGTGAAAATGCATAGAAGATGTTAAACAAGTTTTATTTAGATTAACAGGCGGTTTATGATAAATAAAAGGTATTGATACTTACTAATTTTATATATTTTGACGAGATGTTTTTAGATATACTTCTAATTCTCCTTAAAGTTGGAAACTAGAAAAAAAATCGAAAAATCTTGGTGTAAATATAAAAACATGATCAGACTTCGATTTTAAGAACACTTATTGAAAATTGTAGATTCAAAATTATTGATTTAATAAAACTTGAAATTGTGATCATCATTATGTAAATTCATTCATAGCTGAATTCACCACCAAATCCAATAAAAGTTTTCAATCAAAAAAAAACATATAAAAATACGCTTTATATCTCATTAAATATACTATACTTCTTCCTTCTGCAAAAATACTTAAATTTAAAACCCCATATTCATTTTAGAACAATTTTTTCTTGAAGTTATGTATTATTGCTTTCAAATTTCCTTCAAATTTATAATTAAAATAATAGAATGGGAATTAGTTGTTCAAATCCCAAAAAAATTGAAAAAGAAGTTTAATAGCTGTTTAAAATACCAATTTATTAAATATTGAAAACAAAACTTAACTATTTTACCTATACTCTAATTTAAAAATTAATTATGATCTAAGAATATTTCTGTGCTAATTGGGACCATCGCCAACTCAGGTAGAAGGTGAAAACACTCTAAATTTTAACCTCCAGAAGTATTAAGAAAGTACTTTTTTTATTTTGACCTACTTAAAATGTGTATTATTCAGTTGTTAAAATTAGAGAAGAAGGGAAAATTTATTCATACAGATCTAATGTTTTAAAAATTTTGAGATATAAATACTCTTGTGGAATAAATTGTAGCATAGACCAAAAGTAACTGAAATATTGAAATATGGAATTACAATTTAAAGGGAAGGAAATTAAAGAAATTAAGAGGATACACATATATGGAAAAAATAAGGATTATGGAGGTAATTGAAAGAATAACTATTTAAGTAAAGTTAAAATATATGAAGAAGGTGGATAAAGGTGTAATTTGAGAATAGGGTTTTGGAAATATATTTATAAAGAGTAAAGAATGTAAGTATATAAAATTGATAATCAGGGCGGTGTAATGGATTTTGGAGAGATAAATAACTGACTTTCGTTGGGGAATATTTCAATGGTAAAAAGGTTGGTATTTGGGATCTTTTATGTAAAATAGGAAATCATAACATTTTTACGTAAACAATATGATATAAACATATATTATGAATGTTGGATCATATGATTAGGATATTAAGATTGGAATTTAGTATGAGTTGAATGAGCTGTTTTCAAACTACTAATAAGTTTTACTTCTGGTTATTATTCCACCAATGAGAAGAAAAAAGGTCCATGAAGGTATAACTATTGAAAAATAATAGCGTAAATTTTATAGATTATTAATTTATAGAGGTGGAAAATTTGATGATGAAGGGAATTGTATTAAAATTGGGGCTAGGATTGAGTTTAGTGAATAATTTAGTATAAGTTCACAAGTCATATATAAAGGTGAATATAACAAAGGGAAAAAAGTATGTGGATGGAGTATTTTGTATAGGCAGTAGGACAACGAAACATTTTCAATTATGTATATAGATAAAAAACAATATTAAAATTTGTAAGTGGTGGGGGAATATATGACAAAGAAGTTCCTGGCATTAATACAAGAAAATGGACTGAGTTATGATGATGAATTTTGGGTTAAAAAATAAGATATTTGTAATGGCGAATATTAAGATTATTTTTAGATATATGTAAATTATGACAGAAGTGTTAGAGGAGGAAGTTTTGATGACAAAGGCTTGAAAGTTGGGAATTGGATTGAAATCAGTGAGGAGTTTTGCAATAAAGTATCAAATAATTCAGGCATATTGAAATAGACTATTGAAGGTTAATCTTCCTCATCAGAAAGTACTATTCTAATAATTGTTATCCAATAAGATCTCCTTAATCGTTGGTTTAAGATTAATTCATTCTGTTAGAAAAATTTTAATCAATGAATATTAAATTTTGTATACAGGGTTCTTTATTCATTTTTACATAATTTGATTAGAGACATCAAATTGGAATAAAGAAACTACCTCACCTTCTAAGTTTACTAAGTATCACTTTAGTACCAAATTGTCTAAAAAAGTATTAATAAACCTTTTATCATTTTGATAAATAAAATATATCATCTCCAATTTTGCAGGATTCAATACCAAATTTTATTTAAATCATCTCTAATTGACTGTTTTGTTCACCAATATGTTGATTCCACAAGTTATATTATAAAATAATTATAAACCATTTATAATATCATGAACATTTCACTTAATGATTATTTAATTCTCTTTGATTTACTATCAAAATTTAGAAATTATGTCTGTCAATTACAATTAAAATAAGTGAATTTAAACTTGAAAAATTTTCCCAATGCATTTATTTTATGAAAAGCAGTCACTCTATAAATCATATAAGCAAAATGAAACACATAGAAAAAAATAATGCCATAGAAAACGAACTAAGTTGAAAATATAAAAGAACAGTTGATTGTGAATTATGATATTTAAAAATAAGTTTACAAATTAATAGCACAATGAGTATTTGATAAATTTCATGAAGCAATTGGGGTAATAAAAAACCTATTGTGACAATCTTCTAGATGTTCTTAAGGCGATAATAGTTAGGAAATAGTTTAAGAGAACAACAGTCGACATTTAAATAAAATATTTAGTGATGAGTAATTATGTTAAGTTGATTAATAGACAAGGACAAATTTAGTCAAATAAAATAAATTTTGATGAGTATTTTAAAATTGGATTACTCTGCAGCAATAATACGTTTTTTAATTTGAAAATTTCTGTTGACTTCATCAAAAGAATAAATCATACAGGTAATAAAGCATAAAAAAATATCAAATAAAGACATTCTTTCAAATATTATTAATTGGAATCGATTAGATTCACAAAATTTATTCTAAATAATGATTAAAAATCATTTATTTTTTAGTGTCACGATTAATGCAGTCGGAAATTAGAGAAAAAAAAGATACTTCTCTTAGTTTACAAATACATTCTCGTGATGGCTATTTTTCTGAAAGTCTAGATCAACATTTCTGAAATAACGTGATGATTGTTTTAATAAATTAGAATATACACCTTGAGTTTATCAAAGTTAATCTACTCCTTTTAATTTAAATTGGTTCCAATCATAAATTATGTGATATGAAGACTCGATTTCGGAATTTCCAAATGATTCAATAATAAAATTTCTTCCATACTTTATCAACGTTTTTATTGATAGAATAAGCTTTTGTCAAATTGGAAGTAATTTCTGGAGTTCTTGAAAAATAGATGAAAAAGAAATGTCGAAAAACATTATAACATTAACAACTTAGAGATTCCAATAATTTTGATCTATAAGGAGAAGCTAAAAAATACCAGGTTTAATTTGTCATTAATTCTTCTGTGGAGGAATTGATTACATAGCTTCATCAATTATTACAACCAGGAAATTAAGAGATATTGCTCTTTATATATAATGGTACGGTTCTGAATTCAAAAAGGTATCTCAAGGATTATAATATAATAAAAGATAGCACTTTATAAATTATAATTAAACTCAAGGAGGGATATGATTGTATTTAAATACATATTGATTAAGATTGTAAATTAAATAAGGAATATAAATTGAAAATAACTAAAATATTATATAAATAGCAATTCAAAAGTCAATTCCGTCCAAAAATATTTGATCCAATTTATATTACTAAATAAAAAAATAGATAAATTATTTTAATGGATCTAATTAGTATATTTTTATTATTGTAGCAATAGAAACGTAAAGGAGGATTCTTAGAAAAATCAAAATTAGATCTAAAAATGCATAACTCAATATGATTGTGTTTCCTATTAAAATTAACATATTNAGTTGAAAATATAAAAGAACAGTTGATTGTGAATTATGATATTTAAAAATAAGTTTACAAATTAATAGCACAATGAGTATTTGATAAATTTCATGAAGCAATTGGGGTAATAAAAAACCTATTGTGACAATCTTCTAGATGTTCTTAAGGCGATAATAGTTAGGAAATAGTTTAAGAGAACAACAGTCGACATTTAAATAAAATATTTAGTGATGAGTAATTATGTTAAGTTGATTAATAGACAAGGACAAATTTAGTCAAATAAAATAAATTTTGATGAGTATTTTAAAATTGGATTACTCTGCAGCAATAATACGTTTTTTAATTTGAAAATTTCTGTTGACTTCATCAAAAGAATAAATCATACAGGTAATAAAGCATAAAAAAATATCAAATAAAGACATTCTTTCAAATATTATTAATTGGAATCGATTAGATTCACAAAATTTATTCTAAATAATGATTAAAAATCATTTATTTTTTAGTGTCACGATTAATGCAGTCGGAAATTAGAGAAAAAAAAGATACTTCTCTTAGTTTACAAATACATTCTCGTGATGGCTATTTTTCTGAAAGTCTAGATCAACATTTCTGAAATAACGTGATGATTGTTTTAATAAATTAGAATATACACCTTGAGTTTATCAAAGTTAATCTACTCCTTTTAATTTAAATTGGTTCCAATCATAAATTATGTGATATGAAGACTCGATTTCGGAATTTCCAAATGATTCAATAATAAAATTTCTTCCATACTTTATCAACGTTTTTATTGATAGAATAAGCTTTTGTCAAATTGGAAGTAATTTCTGGAGTTCTTGAAAAATAGATGAAAAAGAAATGTCGAAAAACATTATAACATTAACAACTTAGAGATTCCAATAATTTTGATCTATAAGGAGAAGCTAAAAAATACCAGGTTTAATTTGTCATTAATTCTTCTGTGGAGGAATTGATTACATAGCTTCATCAATTATTACAACCAGGAAATTAAGAGATATTGCTCTTTATATATAATGGTACGGTTCTGAATTCAAAAAGGTATCTCAAGGATTATAATATAATAAAAGATAGCACTTTATAAATTATAATTAAACTCAAGGAGGGATATGATTGTACAAATTAAAATTTCTGTTTCAATTATATTTAAATACATATTGATTAAGATTGTAAATTAAATAAGGAATATAAATTGAAAATAACTAAAATATTATATAAATAGCAATTCAAAAGTCAATTCCGTCCAAAAATATTTGATCCAATTTATATTACTAAATAAAAAAATAGATAAATTATTTTAATGGATCTAATTAGTATATTTTTATTATTGTAGCAATAGAAACGTAAAGGAGGATTCTTAGAAAAATCAAAATTAGATCTAAAAATGCATAACTCAATATGATTGTGTTTCCTATTAAAATTAACATATTGTAATTAAACTCTGTGTTGCATTTATTTCTACATAAATTTTAATATTTACTTGATTTGATAAATTAATAAATAGTATGATGAAAAATGGATGACGATATACGATATTATTACGAAGGACTTGCATGTTCCTTTAAATCTATAAATTGCTTCAAATATCTTAAAGATCATTCTTAAAAACAACAACAGTGAATAATTGATAATCAAAAAAATAGTAAAAGTCTCTTTTCCCATAAAAATAGTTTCAAAAAATGATAATGGGATTAATATACTTAAAAAAATAGAAAACTTAAGGAATCGATAACTTCTTGTAATTGTTTGGTCCTCACTATAAAATAAACAAATAATTTCATGAATAAACTAATAATACAATTTAATTCTTACTTTTACAGACTTTATATAAATTCTTAAAATGTTTTGAAAATTATAGAATCTTATGACAATCTATTTTTAAATCTTCTTGAAGGGAGTTGAATCAATACTCTTTAACAATTCTAATTTTTGCAACTCATAATACATGAATATTGAAAAGATAATGTAAATACCATGAAATAATAGAAAAGGTTAATTATGTAAATCGCAATTAGCATCACTATTTTACGAAATGGAAGAAAATGAGAAAGTTTCTGTTGTGTTTTCGATTTCAATTAATTATCTAGTTAAAAATATAGTTCCCAAATATTAACATTAACAAGAAACTTAAATATACTGTTTAAGATTATTTTCTTAAATTAATAGGTCACACAAATAGAGTTATCCATTATTAGAATACTAAACACATTAGAAATTATATGCAGGTAAATTTGTTTCATTGCAGTAAAAGTATTGAGTCATATCAACAACATAATTAGTATTTAATTATTCATAATTAATATATGATTTTTTGTAAAGATAGTTTTATACTTTTGTTTTTGAGTAGAATTGTTGATCAATTTCCAATTGAGATGAATTCAAAAAGATTTTTAATTCATCTATGTGCTTTTTAGAGATATTTAAATAATTGAAATGAATCTCCAACTGTTCTTTTTAGACAAATACTATCAAGCTATCCATCAAATCGTTTTCTAGACCTAATTATTAATTAAAAATATTTTTGGTTATTTTAGCGATTTGATATTTTAAATATGAGCCATTTAGAGTAAATTATTAGCCATTTACTTCTACTTATTCACTTTCATGAATCGCAATATCATTGATTAGATAGAGTAAATTTTCTACTAGTGAAATTATTTAATCTTCATTATTATCAGATCTAAAGGAAATCAAAGGTATTTTGGTTAATAGATCATCTACCTATTGCATAATAGAATCCAATGAATTGGAAATGGATTACTTATATTGAAATAATAGTTCATTCATAAAAATTTCATCTTATTAGATTTGATTTTCTAAATTTGATTTTGCCAGGATCATTTTTTTTGCGAAATTTTTTATCCTATTAAATTCTTTTGTAACAGTTATAATGTTATATGAGGTATCATTTTAAATTTAAGGATGGTTAAATAATATTAGTTTTGTCTGATTATCATAGCAACTTTTTTAGTCAATTTCAGCTAGGTTTCTTTTAGAGGAATTTAAATTTTTGAAATTAATAATAGATCTTTTATATAATTTTATGGTTTAAAGGGCCAATAATTAATCAAATAAGTCATCTGAATCGATAAGGCTCATTGCCTATTTGAATAATTTTTCAGAATATTAAACACAATCAGATTATTCATAATGGTTCATCAAAACTTCTAAAAGTAAAATAATTTGCTACTTATATTTTAAATTGCTAATGACAAAATCAGAACAATTTAATTTATATTCGGTAACATTTAAATACGATTCAATATTTGTAATTGATCCTTTTGAATCCATAATCTAAATTAAAACAACTCCTTAACTATTAGGCAAATATATTTCAAAAACATTAGATTATTAAAAACAATTAAGAATCAAAGAAAAATCTGAATGTTACTTTTAAAAATCCTTGTAGTCCTCTATATTTAAAAAGAATCTATATTAGTATGTAAATGTGGAGTCTTCTTACATTTCACAATTTGCTGCAATTTTTGATGTTTATAAGGCTTAGATGGTTTTTGAACCTAACTTAACCTAGCAAATAGGAGGCTAGTTTAAATTTAATGATAAATCATATTGACTAGGTAGTATATCATTTGTAAATTAAGCTAGAAATTTTAAATTAAATTAGTTTCCTTTATTAAACTATTAATAATGATCAAACAACCGAAAACAATAAGAATACTATTAAGGCTCTAGTATCTTTAAAACTTCAAAGTTATAAATTATAGCAATTTGATATTGTAATAAATACTATCTATCTTCAAAAGGAATATTAAAATCAAATTGTAATGTTTCATAACTATTAATTGATCTAATTGTATAACCTTTACTATATGAAACATCAAGAGTTTTAAAATCATTCTCTAAAAACACTACGTTATATTTAAATGAATATTAACGCCCTTTTTTGGATGCAATAACATTCCAACCCCATATACTATATGGTTTGACTGTTTGTTTTGGAACAATTTGAACAGAGTCTGTTTTATTTATTTAAAATATTTTATTATTATTAGAATTTGTACAAAAATGATTTTTTGTTAAATCAGCACAGCTAACTTCTATTTTAATTTCCGGATCTTCATTCCATTGATATTAGGTATCAAGATCTTTGCAATAAATATTGATAATCAAGTCTTTTCTATAATTTTAAAGTCTTTTTGTGTCATTAAACTAGCATTGTAGACCTCCTTGCAGTATTTCAATTTTTATATTTTAGGAAGATGAAAAATTGGTTTGAGTCTCATGAACATCCATTTTAAAAGTATATGCTGTCTAAGGTGATAACGTATATTATTCTATCTTGGCTTCAAAATAATTATCACTTACTGTTTAAGAGACATTTACTCTAGATGGCCTAGAATTTGAAATATTTTTATTAATTTCGAGTAATTGTACTTCATATTAAGAGAAACCATTCTTAATTTCTTCTGAATCAGAACAAACTTTTTTCTAAATTTTAAAATATAGTGAAATTATTTCAAAAGTATACATTTATTTCTTTCCTTGCCAAAGAATGGTTGGTAATTACCCTGAATGAGTTTAAACTTGAATTTGCTATTTTCCTTTTAATTTTATAAAATTTTGAAATTCAACAACAAAAGTCACTTAAGATTATTTTGGGAGAGTTTGTAATGGAATATTTAAATCCAATTATTATAGGATTGTTTGTGATAAAACAAATTCTTCTAAATTAGCATTTCCATTTTATCCTTTTAGTAAGTATGTCCAAGTTATGCTTCTCATGCTTCGAAGACCATGTCGACTTTTTGACCTAATCAAAATAATATTATCATCACATGGATTCAGCAAATATTGAGGTATCTCATACTCGATTGTTGGTTATATCAGATTAATAGGAAGTTTTATTTGATTTAAAACAAAATATCCTAATTTATTTTAGCAATCATTATGACCAATAGAGTAATTAATAAATATAATTGAATCCCCTGGAAGTATCGTAGGATTAGAACCTAATTATAATATAATTTATTTCTCATCTTCCGAATCTAAGTAGCAATTTGGATTATTTCCTAATTTTTTAATAGTTTCATCAGCTAGAAATTTCAAACAAATATTCTCTTAAAATTACGATTAAAAGTAAATTTGATTTAAAGAAAAATCAAATGATATTTAGATTTAAAGTAAATCATCAGAAAATCTAATATCTAAGACAGCAACTTCACAATCTATGTCGAGTAAATATATTCATATACCTGAACACCATATAGAATCTGTATGCTCAATTGACCCCAAAGGGCAATCACAAGTTTTTTCATCTGATAAAGCTCTATTTCCATTGCATGTTAAACAACCCTCTAGATTGCATGTTTTACAATATTGGCCACATTTAAGGCAGTTAAAACTTTGATAATCATCATAAGACCCATCTTAACAATTGCAAATAGGAAGATTCGTACGATCTCCTCTACAAAACAAGCAACGGGATTAGTTTCCACTGCAAGTCATGCACTAAAAATCACATTCTAAAATTATTATAAATTGTTATTACAAATACAATCTTGTTATCCAGCTTCGAAATATCCCTCTAAACAATCACACGATTTGTTTATTCTATTCCCTTTGCAGATAGTGCAATTTGATGGGGTTTTCTCACATGTACTGCATTTATTATCACATACTAAATAAATTTCAATATATATACGTTCACAAGTCTAATATTGAGCTATAAAAAACCCTATTTTACAATTACAAGCAGGAACTCCTTCTCTCAAATTGCCAAAACATGTTAAACAGTTTGATGGTGATTAAATGCAAGTCTTACATTAATAACTGCATCTCTAGCATTAGAATTATATTCCATCATCATAATAGCCTTCTTTACAGTCACAATTTTAAGTAATAGTTAATCTATTAGATGTATTGGAAGGCTTGCAACTTATGCATTTATCAGACTTTTATATACATCCATAACACTTAATATGACACTCTAGAATTAGATCTTTTATAAATATACTTTGACACATTTCATTTTCATCTTAAAAAAAATTGGTTTAACAAGGGCATTTATGAATTACAGATTAATCAATTCTATTCATATTGACATCACAACTTGTACAATAATCACTTTTACCTTAACAGGTTAAACAAGCTTTTGAGCATTCTATGAAAATAAATAGAGATTTTTACATTCACAAATCAGATATTCATTATCAAAATATCCAGTTTTACATATGCAGGTATTATTTTATAATATTCTGTTTTATTCAGTCTCATAACAAGACATACAAAATGAAGCTTATGATTAGCAAGTTTTACATAAATCGTGGCATTTTTGACACATTTCAATCCCAACATCAAAGTAGCCTTCTAAGCAAAGACATTTGTTAGAATTATTAAAAATTCTAAAATACTGAGATTCACATGTTAAGCATTTGGTTGATTAGTTTATACATGCCTTACAAGTTATGTCACATTCTACAATATATTTAATCATTACATTAACAAGTTCTTTGATAGGTTTCATAAAATCCTTATTTACATTAACATTTAAAAGTATCTCCATCATAATACCTAGTTATAGGTTCACATTCAATGCATTATGATACACTTTAACATTCTTTACATGATACATCACATGCTACGATTAATAATATAAAATGAAATACCTTCACATTTCTTAATTGAAGTATTAAAATAATAACTAGAAGAGCAAATACATTAATTTAAATAGTTTAATTATAAGTAAAGTGCAGGATCGCAAGATAAACAAAATTTAGAATTGCCTTAACAAGTGAGACAAGATTGATGACATTAAATACATTAATTAAAAGAATCCTCAAAATATCCTTACTTACAAATACATATATTTTCAGGATTAAGTATTCTAAAATTTTCTTCTGAACAAGTTAAACAATAATTTGCTTGATTGATGCATGTCTTACATGTTTGATCACATAACAAACATTATTTATTGACCTCTATTTCATATGTGCCTTCAATGCATATGCAGGTACTGTTTTATAATTTTTTCATTGAACCACAAGATGTACAATTAATCACAGTGTTTAAACATGTTTTACAAGAAATATCACAGTATTAACAAACTCCATTAATTTCAGTTGTGCCATTTTAGCACTAGCATTTTAGAGTTAAATTGTTTAAAACTCGTAATTATGATTAATCACAATCAGTACATGTAATAGAATTAATAATACAATTTATACAACTCTGATCACACTTAGAACACTTTTCTTGTCCAGTTTCATAATAACCATAATCACAATCACATTAATTCCCATTCAAATGCCTTGTAAATGGACATGAAGTACAATAAATTGATTAGATCTAACAAGTAGCACATTTGATAAAGCATTTCTTACAATTGACTGATGATCCATCGTCATAATACCCCATTAAGCATTAACAAGTTCCACCGTTATAAACCCTAAAAGAAATATTTGAATCTATGCAGGTTGTGCATTAATTTGAATCTTAACCTTAGCAATTAAAACAGGAATAATGACATTTTTCACAAACCTCCACTCCTTTGTCATAATAATAATCATTGCAAAAACAAGAGTTTAGAATGCTGTTGAATTATCTTTTAGCTGTGGCTGAACATGTATCACATTTTGTAGCTAATTGATAACAAGTCATACAAGAATAATGGCATTCTAAAACTTAATTTTATATATACTCTAGCAAATTATATTAATTCCATCACTGTAATAGCCTGATTGGCATAAACATTAGAATTGTTTTAATACTCTTAAACTTTAAGAAGGGCAAGACAAGCATTAAGTATTTAAAACTGCACAAGTTTCACAACTAAAATTGCATTCTATTATAAACTCTAAATAGTACAAGAGCATTTAGATATCCCTGCATCAAAGTAACCGGGCTAACAAATACAGGTTGTACCTGATAGGTTTCTCATATCTTAGTCCCAACAAGAATTACAATCTGAAGAGAAACGTCCCTTGCAACTCAAACAAGAGTAATGACAAGCTATTTTTAAATTGAGATGACTACATGAACAAATTTATTAATTTTAATATGTAGATACTGATAAGCCTTAAAGTTTAGTTTTGCATTAACAGGTGGTTCCATTTAAATATTTTTCTGCTTGACAAGAGGTACAATTGGTTGAGGAGGTATTGCACTCAATACAAAGATTACTGCAAGCTAAAAAAAGTAATGGATTCATACCTTAACATTCTGCAAGTCCGGCATCAAAATATTTTGAAGCACACTTACACTCGCCCTAATTATTTAATTGTCTTCCAATTGATATATCACAAGTTGTGCATTAATTTGATTAACTTCCAATACATGTCTAGCAAGTGTTATGGCAAGCTAAATTGAATTGAAATATTTACCAGTACATATTGGATTTTCAGGTTAATCAAAGTATTATGAGGGACAAGAGCAAGAATTGTCAACTCCAAGATTTCGAAATGAGAAATCTGGACAAGTATTACAATTATTTATTGTTCCACTACATGAAGCACATCGATATGAGCATTCTATAATTCATTTATATTTGATTACTTATACACATCTAGCTTCCTATTTATTTTTCTAAATACCCATCTTTACATAGGCATAAATTTCCTTTAATTATTCTATTGTTTTCAATTGAACAAGTGATACAATTATTGAATTGAAAATCAAAACAGGTTTTACATGTGTAATGGCATTCTTATAATTATCATTATTTTTACTTTGACAATGTAATTGACCTACATCATAGTACTCATAAGGACAATCACATTTCGATTATATTAATTATCTGTAGTTCAAGTCACAAGTTAAACAATTCGTATTTCCACTTCCATTGCATGTTTTACAAGAAAAATGGCATTCCAAACATTCTAATTAGGATTCATCACTATAATAGTGGGAATCCTTGCATAAACACTTAAATGTTGGACCTGTACCGTCTGGTCCTCTTGTTGAAGGACAAGTTGTACAAGAATCTACTTCAGCAGTAAGACAGTTAGTACATGAATGATGACAAGACACTAAATTTTATTTTCATTGTTACAATAGCAAAATACTTCGTTTCTCCCAGAATCATAATAAGCTGGGGAACATAAACATTCATCGCCTGAAGTTAAATAACGATGATTTTCAATAGAACATTCTGTACAATTATATTATGATGGTCCATTGCATCTAAGACAAGAATAATGGCATTCTTAGAATTAATTTTGAAGATATACTAAAACAAACATCCTGAATTCCGTCTTCTCCATATTCGCTTCTACAAATACATTTCAAATCATCAGATACAACTCTATTTTGTTCTGCTATACACATTGTACAATATTAATTTAATGTATTGTCAGCTGGTAATTGGCATTTCTCACATCTTGTGTGACAAGCTAGATTGTTTATAGTATTCTTACATTGACATAATGTTGACCCATCATTTTAGATAATTTCAATTGTTCTTAAGGCACAAATACATTTACCATTAACTAACTATTTGTGATAAATATTTGGATCACCACAATCAGTACAATCACTATCAAATGGTCCAGAACAATTATAACATGAAGCATAACATTCTACATTAGTATATTTTTCATTACATTAGCAAATCTTATCCTATAATCCTGTATCATAATATCCTTAATTACAAGGACAAGTATTTCCAATTAGTGATCTATTTCTTAATGGGTCACATGAAGTGCAATCTCCAAATGTTAAAGTACATGTTTAACAATCTCCAGTGGTACATAAAACGCAATTTCCATTTAATTGTGCATATCCTTCAATTTAATCACAAACACATTAACCAGGGATAATTCTTGCCGTTAGTTTATATTGATAATAACAGGTTGTACAATAATTTGGATCTGTTACTAAACAAGTTTGACATGGAGAATTGCATCCAACTGTAGAAGGTGCACACTTTTTATCTGCAGTTAAATAGTGTGTTGCAAAACAACTTTTGCATTCGTTTGCATTATGACAAATAAAGCATTTCTCTAACCCTGGTTCATTTTAACAAGCTAATTATAAATTATATTATTACAAGAACATCGAGTTCCTTTTTTAAAATATCCAACATCACATTATTTGCAATCTGTTCCAATGGGGTCTCCATTAGAATCATAAATATAATCATATTGCATGCAATTTCTATCTTCAAAACACAAAGACTTTTTTAAAGTGTAAGGCCACTTACATTATGTACATATTCCAGAAGAACAGACTTTACAATTAATTGGACATTCTATAATTTTGATACAAATCATACAAACGCATTATTAATCTAAAAACTCGTAACCATCTATACATTCATTAAAAGAATAGATAGAATCTATATATTAACAGGTTTTATGACCTGGTTCACAGGCTTTAAATAATAATTATAGTTACTTAATGTGCATTTTAGGTCATTGCTATCTAATGGAGACTAACCAGGTATACAAGTGGCACATTATGTATTGGTTGCATCACACGTTTTGCAATATTGACCACAAGCTTTATATTACAATCATAATTTACCTCGAGGATATGAAGACGAAGCACAATTCTGGCCATAATTGAAGCCAGCACAATATATGCATTTGTATATATTAGAATACTTTTATCCGATTAAACAACCATAACCATACAATATAGATATTGCTTCAGTTGTAAAAATTAAATTTCCATTTGGATCATGTGAGTATATCATAACATATGGCCACCATCCGAGAAGTAAATGAGTATCGTAATTCCAATATAGGATATACCCTTTTATCTATGGATGGCATAGAACTTCATAATTGTTAAATATAATTTGTCTGAGTTCATTAGTATTATAACATTCCCTTGGAATACCTTAAATTTTATAACTAAACTACCTGCACACATATGGGGATAAATATCTGGCCAATATTACTGATAGCCGGGACAAGATTTTTAAAATATCTCCTTATTGAATTCAGTTTGAAAAGATCTGAAGCTAAAACATGCTTAGAATAGCTGAAATATTATTAATCTGGCAGTGAAACCCATCAGAAGATCTATTTAGATGATTTTATTATTGAATTTTTTTAGAATAAAATTTAGAATTTATATCATATATTTGAGTTGGAATTTCCATTATTAATTTGAGAACGGACTGACTCTATTTGTACTTATTCTAAACACAACTTAAATTTAAAATTCCGACTTAGCGATCTTACATACTAACTTTATTTTTCAAATAAATTTGAAACTATGAGCATTCTTTTAAAATAATTTTTAAGTAATTACTCCACGTTATTTTTTTAAGAAATTTACCTTTTTAATATTCTTATTTTTGTGCACAGATGAATGAATCAGCAAATTAAATATCAATTTGAAATGCAAAATTGACTGTTAATCTTATCCATATATAATTAGTTGATAAAATAAATTATCATTTAATACTTTATTTGATATATAATAATTATATCATTTAATAAATTAAATTATTTTTTAGAATAATTGAAGGTGTTTATTTAATAGAAGAAAACGATTACACATTATTTCAATTATACAAGAGTTTCCCTGTTAAAATAGATTCCAAAAAAGAAATTTAAGAATCATGCGCTACCAAATTTAGCTTAGGATAAATCGTAATATAGAGTTGTCGTCTTATTATTTAATCCTAAGTTTCAACGACTTTTAAGTTAGTGATATGAGAAAATTTAAGAAATTTTATGAAATTTAAAAGAATTCTGAGATATTTAGTTTATAATTTTTCCTAAAATTATATAAGTTAACTACTGAATTAAAATAGGGGGTATTAGAAGCAGAGCGTTAAAATAATGAAAGTAGCAATACAGACTTTAAATGGATAAGCTCTGAGAGAAAAAGATTGGAGTTTTGGAATCTGCAAATATTGGTACATAATCTAAATTCAAAAAATTTTATAAATAATAATTAAATTTTAATTGTTCTTGGTACTTAATTCAAATTCTTATTTAGAATTGCTAGTTCAATTCTTTTTCCTAGTGTTTCAGATAAAATCCTCAAAAACTAAATATTATTCAGTTTGAAAATATTTATTGAAAAAGAGTGGAATTTTTTTATATTAATTCATCATTTTTAAATTTCAATTAATTTTATTTTTCTACAGAAAATATTGTTTTAATATTTACCAATATAAAAGAAGGATTAAGACCATATAATAATACCTAATTGAATTAATTTATGTCTTAGATTTCTTATAAAAGAGGGATTATTAATTTATAGAAAAATGAGATATTAAGAAATAAAGTTTCTGGCAAAATATCATGAGCTATCCGTTAGTGTCAAATTAAGTCACTTAAAAATGATATTTCAAGCACAACAACAAAACTTTTGTATTTATGAAATTTATTTATTTTTATTTCAGAAAATTACGCATTATTGTATAATTTAAATAACTATGAATTATTGTAAATTATTTCTTTTAATATCCTCAGCGCCATATACTTATCGTCTTTCTGCCTATTAGTTTCTTGCTCCTTTAAAATCGTCAATGTAAATCAATTTAAGTATGAAAATGAGCAAATCTTTATATGAATTTTTTTGATGGAGATGGTACTTTTTTATATGGTTTTGTTTTTAAACCAGATAATATTAAAATATATGAGACTTTTTAGTCAAATTAGAGAAGGTGCTTTTCACCTCCTTCTAGATTATGAGTAAACCTAAGAATAAGGAATCTATTGTTTTATTAAACATTTCATTGATTCAATGCTTCTGGCAAGAAATAAAAAAGAAAGTTTCAGTATTTAATTCTATTGACTCGAATAGGATAAATAAATATATTCATAGAAGTTGGAGAATCTGATTATGGAATTAAACAAGAAAAATTTAATGATAAACCTAATAAATATTTCACTCTATATTAGATTAGAGCATCAGGTAATTACAAAAATTGAACATTAATTGGATGAGATGGAAATTTATGATTGGAAAATATAAATAGTATATGAGAGAGTTAGGAAAATTGGAGATGGAGAATCATGACTTAATTATTGACAGTATTTATTTTCCTTTATATAAATTGGAGATGTGAGTATTAAGATAGTGAATTGATTGGATAAGCTTAATTAACATCAACTAATAATAACAGAATGCTAAATTAGGATCATTTACTAAATCAAAAACCAAAAATTTTCAATTGAGAATGGAATATGATAAATTTAAAATGCACAAATTTGAATATAAGAGGTAGCTCTAAATTTACTTTACAATTTTATCTGAATTTTTGATTAAATAATTTAATATATTTAATCATAATCAAATTCATCTCCAATAATGAATAGACGATTAAATAAAAGCAAAGTTTGTAAATTTAACAAATACTACTATCTGAACTATATCCTAATCAATACTTAGAAGTATACAGAGTGGTAGCCATCAATCATGACAACACAATGATTATTGCTACAAGTGAATCCAAAATAAAAGTGATATATATTATTCTACCTCTTCTTTCATAATCAGAAGCCTATCCAACCATAAGAATTACAGCATCTATAGGATAGATTGAGATTCTTAAAGGTAAACATTAGCATTTCTTGTCTGCTTTAATGTTTTTCAAAATTGGTCTTCCCTATATTTGCATTTCTTGTAGAATTTTGCTCACTTCTACTCATTAACAATAGATTTAATGATGAGAAAATATAATTTTGGTCTTTCCTAAACTTAGCCTTCTTTTTCCAAGAATATGTCCATAAATAATTGAAGAACATACATTTACAATTAGAGATTTTCAATTAATCAAGAGGGTACGTTATTAATAAATTTTAATGGAATTTCAGGATAGAGATTATAAGTAGATTAATTAGGATGTTGATTATATTATTAATATTTACTTCTTTGAATCATAGCACAAGTCTTAATTTCCTCAGCAATACATAGCTTCAGTGAATATCCTACTCTCTAAAAATAGTCATAATATCGACCTAATTAGAATCATATCCTTCTACTCCAAATCAGATGCGAATGTAACTAGTTGGTGCTGTCTGATAGAAATACAATTTTTTAAAATAGAGAAAAAGAGCCCTAAAAAATAATAAGTATTTTCAAGAAGATTTTGAAAAATGCTCAGAATAGAAATTGACCTCTCCCAAGGAGGAACAATTTATGAAATAGATAATTTTTTTTTAATTGGAAAGGTAACGAAAGATTTCTTACTAATCAAATTAATAAAACTAAAAAGGTCATTAAGATCTATCAAATTTAATAGTTAAAATTCTATAAATGGGTATGGAGAGAATTAACAGGAGAGGATCATGTTGGTCAGGGGTAATTAATTTTTATAATAAGGCGGGAGGAGGTTGTACATCTACATAAGCAAGGGATCCTCCATAGTGGGGCTCTGAATGTTATGAGCCTAAGAATGGTATATCGCCAACAGGAGTATTTATTTTATGTTGATTGATACCTCTCTGTCTGAATAAGGATGGAGGAATTCTAAAAGCTAAGGAACTTTACTAAAAGAAGGTTTACTTAGATCTTCTGCACAGGCAAATAGCAGCCTAGTGAACGGTAGGGAAGATCTAACCTTGGGAACTAAGAAAGGGATGAATAGATATGGGGAGATGTAATGGATTTTGGTTACAAATGTTAAATGATCTGAACGAACACTCTCAGAAGAAGAAGAAGGAAGAGCCTCTTTAGGATGAGAGAAAAAGGTTAATGATTGGTGTGAAAAAAGATCAAAATATTAGATTGAATTCAATATTCGACTCGATTAGGGATCGATAAGATCAGAGACCAATAATAAGCCTAAACATGCTCAAAAGCGAGGGAACTCGAATCTTATATAACTCCTAAGACGCTTGACTCATTGATTATTAATTGTAACCATTTTAATTTAATACACCTATTTTCCTACTACCCTAATAGTTAGGTTTTGAACCTTAAATGTGAACCAAAATGTAATGAATCTAACCCAGGATTGTAATACTGTATGAGGGAATTCTCGGGTGGAAGGAATGTTCTATAGAATATCAGTGTCTGAAAAATTCATCCAATGATATCTTTGAATTAGTATTGAAATTGTCTACGGAGGTATTCTATCTGATGAAGATATGGATAAATTTAAGAAAATATAGATAATTTAATTTTAGAGGAGATAAGTGGTACATAAGAAAATGAAAGCAATGGAGAGATTAGTGTGTTATGTAGTGATTTGCAGAAAGCCTATATAAATGATGGAAGCTAGGGTACAATCTATGGGGAGTATAAATTGAATACTTTTATTCGAAAGAAGGAATTTGGTATTTATTACTTCCATTTATATGAATAGCCTTATTGGACAAGATTAGAAGGGTACCACCCTAATGTCCTGAGCACTAGAATTTAAAAAAGGATAAAACAGAAAATTTTTTGTTCTAATCGGCCTTGAAATTCCTTATGAAAATTAAAATACTTGAAGAAATCCATGAAACCCATATACATCGAATTTGATAGACATTTTCTTCAGCTAGGGAAGATTCAGGATAATCTTTAAAGAAAGAGCACCATCTATCGTTGAAACAAAGAAGACTGGATAGGGTAGGTCATACTAAGCTACTTCAATGTCATGTTACATGAATTCAGAACCATTCCTTAAGATGTCAAATTCCTTGATGCCAAGAAAATAACATTAGGATAGGGATGCAGCTGATTCAAGATTTTCTGCATATAAACATAATTGAATGGGAAGAATGCAGGAGGGAATGTCTGTTACCAAAAGATAGACATTGGAATTTCCTTGAGATATTTTTAGAATGGTAGAGAGAACTAAAGATATGGTGGATTTGATGTTCAATGAAGGAAATAAAGTGGAATAAAATATACTATCTAGTTAGTTATTTGATAACCTTTAACTCAGTAGATTGAAAATTGAGAGGAGTTGAGAATGAAATTAAATTATGTTTTAGGAGTCTGTTACTGATACTGAATGATATTATCCATAAATATAATAATAAAAGTTTGAACCATTATCATTTCTTATTGCCGAGAAATTCTTAAACGTTCTTTTCACAAATACTTGATAAGAAATATGTTAATCTGGCTTTTAAAACAAAGGAGGAAGAAATAAACAAACATTTTAATAAATATTACTAATATATTAAATCTCTCACATGTGTTAGCGTTTCTTCCAGTTCCTTTTAATTCTGATAAAGAAAATATGAAATCGAATCGAATCGTTAGTTGAGTAGTGCTGCAATGCTGCCTAAAAAGAATTATTTAGTAATTTCAAATTTTAGAGATAATCCTTTTGTGAGTCTGATCAATAATATTTTTCATTTACACTGAATTTATATTTATTTTATTGATATAAAATGTTTTATAATTATCCTTCAGCTTGTGGCTTAAACCTCTAAAAAATCAAAGTAATTAAACTATATAAAAGTGTATATTGATGGTTTTAATGAATTTTTTTCAACACCTTATTAATTGTGATTCGATTAATCTGCAGCTTATTTTTGTACCAAACTTCTACTTTTACTATAGCATTTTTCAAAATTTTCTATTTTTAATGTCAAAATATCCTAACTATTATGATCCTGCAAGCAAAGATCCGAATTCCGCATTCTAATCATAAGTAGCATCCAGCTGTTATCTATTCTATCAAATTATCCTAAGCCTAGAGTGGATAATTGCCATGTCTATGTCAAGGTTTCCAGTCAAAACTTGTGTGAAATAATTATAGCTACAATAGGAATGCTGAGTTATAAGCAACGCAAAAATAATACACATCAAGATTTATTTGAATAACAGTAAATTAGATTAATATTCTAAAGTTTGAATAATTTTTGAAATAGGTGGCAACTTTTGTTTCATTGACTTGTCCTATATTTTAAACTCTGTAAACCTCCTAATTCCGAATATGATTCCTTATGATCCTATTATAATTGGATCATTAGATATTGGTCTATTTTAGGATAAATAAATTTTAATAGTTTAACTTAATTTTAATGCTACTTTGGAACATTCTGAAACGAAGCTTGATCTCATTAATTCAAATATATCTGATTGCTTTTCACATATGGTAATGGTGATGATGTCTCACCTTCGGATTCAGTTCATACTTAATCCGATATGCTCATCCCTGATTATAGTGAATGTTTCAGTTATTTTAATTCCTGATATACCCTTCTAAAGCATTATTAAGCAAGTCATTACTTGTACTAAACTAAAAGATAAAATTGAAGCTAATACAAAATCAAACTTTTGTATTATGGATTTTTATATTTTACATAAGCTTTAGATCATTTTCTAATTAATTTCAACTTATTTTGTGATTATAAAGCATTCTCTCAAAAAAAGCCTTCTCTACTTTTCCTTCTTCATTCTTACAAATTCAATGTTTAATTCAATTTTTGGCAGCGAAAAATATAATTCTTTAAATTTAAACAACAATTCTTTTTCATCATATCAAATTTTGATTAATAAATATATTTGATTCTACTTTCAAATTTATCTCCTACATCTACCCATTGGAATTAATTGAGTTCCCAAAATATTGTTTATTTTGCAAACTGAGAAATCATAAATTTGAATTTTGTCTTATTATTAAAGATCTTATTCATAGCCTTCCATTTCGCTTCCATTTTCTATTAGCCACTTTTTGTAAATTGTATAATATAATTTTATAACTTAATACAACAATGCACTGGTTTATTTATTTTTGATTCTTTTTTTTATACTATAATTTTTTGTCAAACATTTATTTATTCCACATAGAAGTTGAGGGGATTTCGGTAGACTGGACTCAACTAAATTAATTAGAACTGGAATGAAAGCATGGAGTTGCATTAGTATTATGACGTTCTTCTGATGATGATTTCTGGTAATATGTTAATGAAACCTTAATATAGCTCCATGATGGGTCAAAAGATCTTCTTACCTATAATATCATAATAAAAACAAAGATGTGAAAGTTTTTAAGGTGTTTTTCTTTGAATTCAATTTGAGAATTTTGTTAATGCATAAAATCTTACTTTTTATACTTATCAGGGTTTTATTTTAAAAACAGCATAGAAACGAAAAAGAATAAATCTGTGGAAATTATTTTTAAACAGATCACTCCTTGAAATAATTTCATTATACATTAAGGAAAAGTTTCTCGGAAGAAAAAAATAATTGTTAATAAAAAGAAAGCAAAGAAATAGGGCATCTAAGTAGTCGGCTATGATGAGGTTGTACACTGAGCTGGTTCTTGACCGGTTATGAAATAATATAGAAAAGAAGTTCACAGAGTGTTGCTAATTGATTTTTGGACGTCGCGTAATCCTTTGTTTCTCCCAAATCATTAAAAAAAATCTAATTTTTTTCAGATTGGCTGCGTCCTGCACACACAGATTCATGTTTTTGATTTTTTTTTGATTTGAATGTCTTAGGAGTGGCGAATTTGTA